TGGGTGAGAGACAGAGTAGAGGGAACAGAACAGGCAGATTGAAACACACTACTGAGGGAGCAGCAGGCAAAACAGGAGAGATCTGCTGTGCCATGTGGGTCAGCTCCCTGGCCAGTGCTTGAACTCATGCTGCGGTGGCTTCTGACAACTTAATAGCTGAGCCTTAGCCCCTTGTACCACCAGAGAGGCCCTATGTCACAAAACCTCTTCAACATTCTATGACGGGTCTAACTTAATTAACTTTAACGTCTTTTTTAAATCTGAGATCCTACAGTTGAAATCTGATGATCTATAAATGAAAACAAACCCTATATTTGATGTGTAAAAATAAAACATAGAAAATAAGGTGAGAATGTATTAAATAAACTAAGAAAGCAAATAAAGAACAATCCCTTTATGAATAATTATGACTTTTCCTCCTGACTTTAAAATAGTACATTTTAAATACTACTTTTAATGACAAAAAAATACTAAGAGTTATACTTTAGTTAGTTCGTGTCAGACCTTGCAAATAGTCTAGTTAGTAGTGGCCGTTAGATTTGCTTTTCCATGGAAGAATCTGGGATGTACATATTGCCAATAAGTCACCCAGAAGAATAACGGCATTATACTGTATGTTGTTGTTTAAAATGAACTTTTAGATATTAAACAGACACTTCTGGGGATGTGATAAGAAAGGTAATAATAGAAAGCTGTGTAAGATCTTTGGATAATACTTGCTACCTGAACTCGGTTGCAGCATTTCAGACCAAAGTCAACTTCTAGGCCATAAAGAAGTGGAACTAATTTTTTTTCCAATGGGTACATGCTAACTAAGCATATTCACAGACTCTACTCTGCCCCATAGCTCTCATCACACCTTCAAAACCAAAGTGGAAGGTAAAGAAAAGAGTGTTTTGGAGATGCAATGGAGAAGGACATCTAGTAATAAGGAAAGCAAAGGATAGGAACAACCTGAACAAAAAGGATCATCTCTCCTTCCTGTCTTAATAACAGTAAAAAATACATGCACACACATGCATAGGTTTTAATTTATAATAGTGCTAAAAAACAAGGTATGCTGTTGTATAGTTAAGGATTAATTAAGGATCTTTGAAAATGAAAGTAGAGAGGACTATGAAGTTCATGATGAAAACGCAATTTGAGATGATCACTTCAAAGAATTGTTATAACAAACAAATAGGAATACTGTGAGTTTATGTACTAAAAACAAGCCAGTAACTAGAATTTAAAAAAAAAATAGAGAATAAAGGTATTCCAGGTCAGATCTAACAAAAGGTAAGTAATTTATTTATTTTTTTATGTTTTTATTTTATCACCTTTATTTCACAGGGGCTCTTAGAGCTGTACAAACTCAAATTGATTTATTTCCTGAAAGTATGTTTTACTGAATAGTCTTTTTGAGGATCAGCGGTTCTCTGTAGCCAGTTAGGTTATGAAAGTTGCCATGTCATTCTATCCATTGGGGGAGCAAACATTTTAGTCACTTGTGACTATCTAAACTTCCTCTGGAGAAAGGAAGAGAAGAAGTTGGCTTTTGTTTTCTAGAATAAACCCCATGCCAATGATTGCCCTCTCCCAACAATGGGGTATACAAATGAGGCCCCCAGATACCAAAATCACATTCAAGAAAAAGTGTTAAGAATATCAACCCAGGGAATAAATCCATTTGTGTTTTCAGAGAAAGGTGGGCCAGGGTTGAGTATCAGGAAACTTGCTGAAGAATTAGAAGTGGTTTAGGCCAATCCTAGAAGGAGAGGCTGTAATTTCCCATAACTGGTCTTGAATGTCTTCCTGAAACAAATCACATGAATGGACCAATGGCATGGAATATATCTGAAAGTTTTTATTATCAGATACTTTCTCTGCAAATTTTCTTTCTTTGTATTTAGATATGTCTGTATCAATGAGATTTTAAACTTTAATCCACTGGTGGC